CCGCGCGCCAGGGAGGGGGATCCAGCGCGTGACCTGAGAAACCCGCGAAGACCGTCGAAAGTTTATGCTTCTGCCACTTGGGCGACGATAAATAACGAGGCCGTCTGCGCCGACATTGGCGCGTAGCTGCCCGCGCAACCTGCGTAAGCGCCCTCGTCTCCACTGTTGCGTGCCGCGCTGGCGGCCCGCGCAAGCCGCGGCTTCAGGTCTCTGTGTCGTCTCGCGCCAGACCCGGCGCCCAACAGACGATTTTGATGTCAAAGGGTTGGCGCGGGAAGGTCGCTTTGCATGCGTGCGAAGCGCGTTCAACTAAACGTCTTGAATGCGGCGTCCCGCAAAACGCGGACGTCTACGCACTCGTGTCGACTATTCGTTGAGATCGTCGGCAGGCGCCCCGTTCAGGCCATTTGCACCCTGTATAGGGCAAGGGCGCGGGGGCCAACGGGAGGGGCCCGCCCCCCCCATTCCATCTGAGGCTGTTGCGCATGTGGCTCAGTTGTGATTTGAAGTTTGACATCTGATAGGTTTACAACTTGGAGATTATCTCATGTACGCGTGGCTCCGAGGGCGAGCATTTAAACCTATGACGCTGGAAATCCAGAAGCCGTCGGACGTCGTCAAATTTTTGGAGATACAGTATGTGCCTGGGCCAACAGAGCAACTTTTTGGCGCTTCAATTTCAGAGTGACACAGTTCGAATGCTTTCAAGCTTCCATCGTTTTCTAAAATGACAAACGTTGAAACTTGTTACAGCCACAAAACCGTTTCAACAGTTTACGGTTTTGACATCATGTAAGTATGAAGCGTGGAGGTTTCCTATTGTTTGGAGTTTGAGCGCTTGAACATTGAACAGTTTCTACGCGGAGTAGAAGGAAACAGGAGTAACCGACGAACGCTTGTATGTATAATGATTGTTGTAAGTTTTGAAACAGGGGGCGCTCGCGACTTGGTCAATCGTCTTTTCCCGACAGCAGGTCGGCTCACATAGTTTCGTGACTTTGTCGTTGCGGTCAGAGAGCGTCTACAAGAGCGGAAAAGACGGACCTAGGTAAAATACCATGGCTGCGCAGTAACATTCGTTGTTCGTTCGACCAAGGGTGCTCGCGTAAGTTCAATCATGGTTTCTGGATGCGCGCAGGCGGCGAAAAGGGGTGGGATGGGAATGTGTTCCATTAATCCGTAGTTGCGTTGCGGCTTCCTCGTGCGTTTTGAAACTAGAGAATTCGCCTTCAGGCGTTCGAACATATGTTCGCTTGGGGTTTGGCAGGGCAAAGGAGGGGGAGCAGGAACGGCTGGCGAGAAAACGCGACTATGCCGCAACGGTTCGTCATGTGCGCAGAGCGCGGTCATGGTCCTTTTCCCTCTGCCGATCGCAAGGGTCCCCCATGAACTTTTCCGTGACCCGCGCGGGCCCCCAGGTGTTTCGCCATCCTTCCCCGCGTGTCCCCAGCAACGATCTTCCAAAAGTGCTCCTGGAATTCAACAACCTGGAGGGCATATGTGGTTTCTCCACTGAGGGGGATCTGCTTTTTCGCCCAGTCCTCGGGGGGCGGGCTATCTGACGACAAACATTGGCACGACGACGCCGACGAGCGTTGCAACGACGACGACGAGCGGTGCGGCGACGACGGCGACAAGTGTCTCGGCGACGACGGGCACGAGCATTGCGATTGCAACGGCGACGACGGTGATGACGACATTGACGAACACTCGGCGGCGGTGGCGACGAGTGCTGCGATGGCGACGGCGACGAACCTTGCGACGACGAAGACGAACGTTACGACGGCGACGGCAGCGACGAGCGTTGCCGAGACGATGGCGAGCGAGACGACGACCACGGCCACGCGGAGAGACGCGATGACGACGCCATTTAGTTCCACGACGACGACGACGAGCGTCACGGCGACGACAGCAACTAACGTTGCGACCACAACGCCGACGGGCGTTACGACGACGACGACGACGACGAGTACTACGGCGACCAATGTGGCGACTATCGCGAGGGCGATGGCGAGCGTTGTGACCACGGTGGAGAGCTTTCCAACGACAAGAGCAACGGGCGTTACGATGATGACGAACATTACGGCGGCGACGACGGCCACGGTCTCTTGGTGCGTTGAATGGCGGTTGTGGTGTAGCGGCGCATTCGTTTTGGGAGTTTTCACCGACGGCATGATTTAGTGGGAGGTTTTCGGAGGAGGAACGGTTGGCGGAAGGAGGATGAGGACGAACATGTGTTGATGGTGGTGCTTCAGAGTTCCCGGGGCCTTCCCCTGATAAGCACAAAAACCAACGACGATTTTGCGCACGATTTTGCAATACGATTTTTTTGGGCGACTTGCTTGAGACATCTCGACACAAATATTGTTGGCCAGTATTGTATACGAAATCGTGTTGGATCGGGCACCAGATTGTAACACAAATTCTTCTCTCTGGGTCCAGGCTCTCTTTTCAAAATCGTGGTGGCGGTTCGCGGACCCCGCATTCAAAATCGTAAGGGCGGGTCTTGAAAATCGTAGCCGAAATCGTGGTGGGGGAGTTTGAAAATCGTAGGGGCGGATGTTCAAAATCGTAGCCAAAATCGTTGGGGCGGAGGTTGAAAATCGTCGTAGAGGTCACGGTGGAAGGCCACGCCTGCCTGGCCTGACGGCTGGAAAGGTTTGGCCTCAAGTACCTTGCCTTGAGGCCGGAGTTTTCGCTTGAAGTGTCCGGCCTCGCGGCCGGGGCAGTTCAGCCCCGCGGCCTTATCCTGTCATGGAGCGGCCAGTCTATGTATATAGTGCCATTGGCGGCGAGGCAGCTCCAAGAAGGCTCCAAGAAGGCCCTAGGGGATCCTGAGCGGGCTCCGGGAGGGCCCGGGAGGCCCCGAGACACGCCCTCGTGGGCCTTAAACGTTCCTAGAGTCCCCCACGGTAGAGGACTTGAAACGGACGTCTGAGATACTCTACCGCGGGGGCCCCAAGAGGGCGCCAGGAGTGCCACAAGACAGCTCCAGGATGGCCATAAGATGGCCCCAAGAGAGCTCCAAGAGGGCCCCTGAGGCCCCAAGAGGGCCCCAAGGGGGCCTCGAAGGGCCCCCCAAAGCAGTGAAAGTGAAGTCACGCGAGCGCCCTTTCGCGCGACTGAACTTTCACTCACCTTGGGGGCCCTCCGGGGCTTCTTCTGAACCCCCACAGGCATTCCTAGCGGCCCCAGAAAGGCGAATTAGAGCCCCAAGGAGGGTACCAACAGGCCCCCAAGAGGAATGAAACTTATGTCACGCGAAAAGGGCGCTCGCGTGTCTTCACTTTCACTGCCCTTGGTGGCCCTTCGGGGCCCTCTTAGAGCCCTATTGGGCCTGAGGGTTATCCGGCCTTGTGCGCCACAATCATGCGGCAGCTTTCTGGTGATATGCGCTTGCGCCTCGCAATCGCGACGCGATTCCAAGGAAATGCGAAGTTCCACTGCCCATGCGCGAGCACAATGATCGTGCGAAACAGTCTCCTCGAACAGTGCTGGCACTTTTTGCATTGCATGTTTCTGATATGCGCTGTAGAAGAATCAAACCAGATTTCGATACATGCGTAGATAACACTTAAAACAACAAGCTTCGACTCCGACCGCTCCAACACGCAAGCAGCTCTAGTGAGGCAAGCCCCAGGCGGTCCTGAAGAAGGCTTCGGAGGGCCCCCCCTGGGGCCTCGCCGAGTCCCCATCATACAGGCCTAGAGAGCCCAAGAGAGCTTCAAGAGAGCCCGAGAGATCCCCAATACGCCTTCCCACCGTCCAACCCTTGCCTCCCAGTCTCCTCTCCTTGGCTCCCTCCGCCCCTTTCCGGCGCCTTCCCCCCGCCCTCTTCGCTCTCGTTCTTTATGCTCCCATGTGCTTCCCCTGCGGAGGATGGGGGTGTGAGGAGGGCGGGGGTAACTGCAACCGGTCTTCTCGCCGACGCGGAGCATGTGCAGGCAATTCCCGTGGTGGGGGCGCTCCTGGCTGGCGATCGCCCTCGTCGTCGTCCGTTTTGCCCGTGCTCTTTGCATACTGCGTGGACATGCCAAAACAAAATCTGTATAGTTTCAAGCAAGCAGCGAAACCAGTTAGGAGAAACTGCAGGTCCAGTCACCCACGCAGGCTCGACTCGATGATTCGATTTGTTTAAATCGAATAATTTATGTGCGCGGCGGCTGTGTTAAGGTGCGTTTAATTTCGTTGCTTTGGGCGTTGACCCCAGGGTGTGTGCAAATCGTCCGTTCCTTTTAGGAGCTCGCCAGAATTTTATCTGACCTCCTCGGCCCCACCTCGTGGCGGTCAGCGTCGCTCCCCCTTTCTCCGCCAACCCTTGCTGCGCCCATCTCTCCCGTGATGTTTCTTCCGACCGTGCCCGCGTCATCGCCTCTGATTTGGGGTCACGAAGTGTTTTATAGAAAACGATGCTTTCATGAAAAAAGTGAGGTCAAAATCGTGGCAGGGTTTGTTGGGGCACCGGGGAATGCTCCTGCGAGCCATCAGCGACCGGCGACCTACGCAGCGGGCACCTTCTACCCTTTGAGTCGCCCCCCCCCGGGGGAGAAGAGTTCAAGGAGAAACAGCTGCATCAAACTGCACCTTCGACGGTCTGCGCGGATTGCTTAGATCGGCACTGCCCCCCCCCCCCGGGCGGCGCCTCCGGCGCCGTTCCTGGTGCGCTCCGCGCGCCAGGGAGGGGGATCCAGCGCGTGACCTGAGAAACCCGCGAAGACCGTCGAAAGTTTATGCTTCTGCCACTTGGGCGACGATAAATAACGAGGCCGTCTGCGCCGACATTGGCGCGTAGCTGCCCGCGCAACCTGCGTAAGCGCCCTCGTCTCCACTGTTGCGTGCCGCGCTGGCGGCCCGCGCAAGCCGCGGCTTCAGGTCTCTGTGTCGTCTCGCGCCAGACCCGTTTCTCTCTGTCGCCCACTCGTTCTTCCTCTAAGCTTGGCATCGCTCGGACCTGTGCATCCTTTCTCGGCGAGAACCATGGGGGAGTACCTTGGACCATCCTGCAAGCAACCTCCGAGCGATGGCAAGCACACGCGCGGAGGGCGCCTCGATCCTCGATGCCCGACCGCCCCCGCCGCGCCACCAGGTGCACATCTCGGTGCTGCCGGCGATGAGCCCCGGCGGGCCGCAGACGTGCAGGATCAGCGGGCCTCCGGAGCTCGCGGAGCAGGCGGGCCTCGGGAGCCTCGTGGCGGGGGCCAATGCAGACGTCGCGCAGGGGATCGGCTACAGAATCGATGAAGCCCAGAGTTCGACTTTTTTGTCGAAGCCACGGAGCATAAGACGCAGAATGTTCGTAGGTGTACGAACGTCATAGGCTTTTTATGGCGGTGGTCACTAGATTCGACAAGCAAATATTTCATGGGGCTATTTAATTTTGTAGTCGCTCCCCTATTCGAAAACAGGGGTCAGCCGGAGCGCCGCCTCTTGCAGGATCTTGCAAGGCCATGGTTCCGTTGACCTGGTCTTGCGCGTAGGATCCCGCAGGATCCTGCAGAGCCTGACTGAGCTGGGTTTTCATTGGCTCGAGTCGGTAGATCCCCGAGGGTTCTCGTGGGCGTCACCGTCTGTGGGTCGGCTCGAGTCCGGTACTTGGGCGCCCGAAATGGGTACGGGAAAAACGGGTACTATGTCCCACAGCAAATGTGTCTAACACCGACAGCGGCCGTTGATGGGCATGCGGCCTCCTGACTCAAATGGACAACGCCCGCGGCGACACCAACAGCGAGGTCTGCTCAAAGTGAGCAAGATCTTTTGTCAGTCTTCGTGCCCATCCTTACCGTACCCATGCCGATCGTACCGAGGATACAGCCAGGACCCGGGGTAATGGGAGCCGGTCAGTGACTGGGCCCCGGAGCCACCAAAAATGGGCCGCCATGCTATTTCGCGTAAGACCCGTTGATTTTCGTCGCCCATTTGGGAGGCCTCTAGCTGTGTAAGGCTTTGGAGGCTTCCTCGACGACATAAGCACCCAGCTTCCGGAGGCCCGCGCGGGTTTCCTGAATCGTCGCTGGACCCCCCTGGGCGGCACGCGTGGGCTGTGGCAGGCTTCAGAGGACTTCCTCGAAGAAGGACCGACTACGCAGCGCAAACATGTGGTGGGGGCGTCCGTCGAGGAACGTGTCCAGGAGGCTGCAGACCCTGGATGCCTCCTCGTCTGATGAGGGCGGCGATGCTATCCGTGGCCGATCCACGATTGGAGTTCCACCGGCTTCCAGACCCTGCGTCTCCTATCTACGGGCTCCTTGTCCAGTGCCCCCATCGTATACTTCCGAAGGTCCGTGCGGATTTCCTGGACCGACGCTGGACCCCCTTGGCGGCGCCTCTGGCGCCTTCCCCGGCGCGCTCCGCGAGCAAGGGAGGGGGATCCAGCGCCGATCCGAGAAGTCAGCGCGGAGCTCCGAAAGATAATGCTTATGCCATTCTTGGGAAGGCCTTGCGGCCGGTGCCGCCGACCCTGAGGGTGGACGACGACGACGGCGGTGGGGAGGCGGGGGGAGGCGGGGGGAGGCGGGCGGAGCCGGGAGGAGGCGGGGGGAGAAGTCATGAGTTCCTTTGTCCAATGGGAAGCCATCCCCCTTGTCCTCCGTGTCCACCCGGAGGACCGTCTTCCCCCTCGCAAGCGAACAAAAACGTTTCACACACGCCGACATGGTCGGCGGACTTGTTCCCCGAGACCACTGTCCACCTCACCGATCTTGGCCAGACGCATCTTGGGCCCAGAATCTGCAAGCGCCCTCCTGGCTTGGCCAAGGAGGCACATACACCAGGATCTGTTATGTGGGTAGTTGACGTCCTCCGACTTCTCATCTCGTGCAGAAGGGCAGCGTGAGCATACATTTCCGGAGGTCCGCGTGTATCTCTCGGGTCGGTGCCTCGGCCCCCTCCCTACACCCCTGGCGACGTCTCCAGCGCTGACCTTGGCACGCTCCGTGCGCTGAGCGTGGAGTGTGGGGATGGGGATCGGGCGCCGCCCCAAGTGATCGTTTTTTGATTCCTTGTTTTGCCGATCGGCGCGGCCCCCCCTCTTCCCCCCCCCCATGTAGTAGATCTTGGCTGTTTTTTGGCGCCTGTTTCGAGCGGGTGGAGTCTTTTCCAGAGGTAGCACTCTTGCAAACAGTCGCATTAAGTATGTGTCTGGAGCCAGACCCCCCCCTCCCCCTCTTTCCGCCCAATGTCGAAAAGCCGAATCAAACAAACGCTCACCAAGAAATCCGCGCGCGCACCTCCCATCTTCTCGACCGACGACGGTGATGGCGGTGGCGGCGGCAACGGCGACGGTGGCGGCTATTACTGCCATGTTCGGGTGTTGGCGGAAGGATCTTCGGAGAACGCGAGCTGGACACACGCACCGATCTTGTCCTGGCCAGGCCGATCCTGGGCCCAGGATCGGTGTTGATTGATTCGTGGCCAGTCCGTGATGGCGCATGCACCGATCGGAGCAGGTGCAGAGCTTATATCCTCTTGTAGCTCTGGACCAAGGTGCCCCCCGCTGCCGAGGCGTTGTTTGAGCCGCAAAAGGTTCCCTTCGTGCCTCGTCTGGGCCACCCCGAGATCTACGTGGCCATCCCATGGGGACCTTTGTCCAGGACCGCGTCTGGCAGTGCCCAGCAGTTCAGATGAACTGCACCGTCTGACTCGGTGTTTTCACCGAACGCGTTCCACTACTCGCAATATGTCTATCCGCTAATGCTCGAAAACACATGTTTACCTCGATGTAGTGGATCGTTAAATTCCTCGCGGCGGGTCCAGGCCACTTGCGAGTAGTTGCCTTTGCGAGTCGTGCAGCGCGCCTGTCTATGCCTGGCAGCCAGCCGATAAATGCCGTGGGCGCAGTCTGAACGTGCCGCCCGCTGCAGGAGTCGTGGAACCGACCGTAACTCATCTCTGGTGCGTCGGGCAGCGCCCCCTTTCGTGCGCGCCAGCCTCCTGATCCTTCTGCTTCCTCTGCTGCTCCTGCTCTTCCTCGTCCTCTCTGTCTCCTTCTCGTCCTCCTCCTCGTCGTCTTCCTCTTCCTCCTCGCCCTCGTCTTCGTTCACGTCCTCGGGCCCTTCGCCTCGGCACTAACTCTCCTGGTGGCTCCTGGTGATGCGCTCAGCGCGGGTGCAGGCGGCGGCGCAGTAACTCTTGCTGCTACGGCTGCTGGGAGACTTGTGGCGCGTCAGGGAGCAGGTCTTCCTCCTGCTGCTCGTTGTCGTCGTCTTTGTCCTCTTCCTCCTCCTCCTCTTCCTCCCCCCTTTCTTCTGCTTCTTCTTCTTCTCCTTCTCCTCCTCCTCTTCCTACTCCTCCGCCCCCCGATCCCGAATCGCTCCTGCCGCCCCCGGCCGCCCTCGCGCTCCCCTCCTCTTTCCTTTTTCGTTATCCTCCTGTGTCTCCTCCTCTTTCCTCCTCTTTCCTCCTCTGTCCTCCTCCTCTTTCTTCTTCCTCTCTCCTCTTTCTTTCCTCCACCTCCTCCTCCTCCGCCTCTTCCTCCTCCTCCGCCTCCTCCGCCCCTGGTCGCCTCCACCCCCGCGCTCGCCTGGAGGCCGAGCAGATGGTGAAGGAGAAGTTGGACGAGCTGAGGTCGCAAGGCAGCAGCCACGCTCGCCCTCGCACGAATGGGGGGAGCAGAGCGAGGAGGGTTGGGTAGGGGTACTACGACTATTACTACTACGACTATTTTTATTTTTTATTTATATTTATTACTATTATTATTATTACGATCAGTACTACTACTACTACTACTACTACTACTCTCACTATTAGTACTACTTCTTCTTCTTCTACTACTACTACTACTACTAGTACTACTAGTACTACTACTACTACTACTACTACTACTACTACTACTACTACTACGACTACGACTACGACTACGACTACTACTACTACTACTACTACTACTACTACTACTACTACTACTACTCTTACTACTACTACTACTACTATTACTACTACTACTACTACTACTACTACGACTACTACTACTAGTACGACGACTACGACTACTGTAACTACTATCACTACTACTTCTATCATCACTACTACTACGCTACGACGGCTACGACTACTACTTCTACGACTACTGCCGCTACTACGACGACTACTACTACTACTACTACTCCAACTGCTACTACGACCTTTACTACTACTGCTACTAGTACTAGTATTGCTACTACTACTGCTACTACTACTACTACAACTACTACTACTACTACTACTACTACTACTACTACGACTCTCACGATTGCAACTACTACTGCCGCTGCTACTGCCATCGCTACTACTACTACTACTACTACTACTGCCATTGCTATTACAACTAGTACGGCTGCCATTGCTACTACTACTGACATCTACTACTACTGCCATTACAACTACTACTATTACTACTACTGCCATTACTACTGCTATTACTACTGTCATTACTTCTACTATTACTACTACTGCTCTCACTGTTACAACTACTAGTGCTACTACTGCCATTACTGCTGCTTCTACTGCTACTACTACTACTTCTCACTACTAGTATGAGTACGTCCACTACTACTAGTATAGTACTACTGATTCTACTACTACTACTACGACTACAGCAACCAGTACTGCTGCTCTCACTACTACTATTACTACTACTACAGCTACTACTGCTCCTACTGCTGTTACTATTACGTCGGCGACTACTACTACTAGTACTACTACGGCCACTGCCAGTACCACTGTCGCTACTGCTACGACGACGGCTGATATTACTACTACTACTGCTACTGCTACTACTACGACTACTACTACTACCTCTACGACTATTACTACTACTACTACTACTGCTACTACTAATACTGCTACTACTACTACTACTACCCTCACTATCACTACTGCTGCCGCTGCTACTGCTACTACTGCTGTTACTATTACTCCGACTGCGGCTACTACTGTTATTACTACTTCCCACATCACTCTTACTGCTACTATACGACTGCTGCTTCTACAATCATTATTACAACAACAACAGCTACTACGACTCTCAGTGCTACACCTACTATTACTTCTACTACCACTACTACTACTATATTTATTATTCCGACTACTACGACTACGACTACGAATGCCACTACTGCTCGCGTTCTCAGTTCTACTACTACGACGACGACTGCTGCTACTGTTACTACCACAAATGTTTCTGCTACTACTATTACTACTGCTACTACTACTGCTACTGCTGCCACTAGTATTACTACTAGTACTTGTGCTACTGCTACTACTATTACGACTATTACTACTACTGCTACTACTACTACTACTACCACTACTACCACTATTATTACTACTACTGCTACTACTACTACTACTACTACTACTATGACGTCCTACTACTACTAGTACTACTACTACTGCTACTGCTCTTCCTACTACTACTACTACTACTACTACTACTGCGACTACTACCTTGCTTACGAACGCTACTACTACTACTATCACTACTACTACTACTACTACTACTACTATTACTATTGCTACTACTACTACTACTACTACTACTACTACTGCTACTACTACTACTACTACTACTACTACTACTACTACTACGTCTACTACTACTACTACGACTGCGACTACGACTACGGCTATTCTTTACGCTTCGCGTATCCCCACCAGCCCATCTCACAGCAGCAGTTCTCGCGAAGCATGTCGACAGTTGTGTTTTTCAGGCGTGTGTCCGCTGGGCTCCGTATATCTCCCCTGTCCCTCCTTCCTCCCGCCTCCTTGTGAATCCTCCTTGTGGGGGGAGCGGGAGAAGGACGAGGCGGAGGAGGAGGGAGAGAAAGCGCTCCTCGTGATTTGAGTCGTTTGGGGTTTCTCGTCCTGGTGTGAGTCGTTCGGGCCCTTCTTCCTGGTGTGAGTCGTTCGGGCTCTTCGTGGTGTGAGTCGTTCGGGCTCTTCGTCCTGGTGTGAGTCGTTCGGGCTTCTCGTGGTGTGAGTTGTTCGGGCCCCTCATCCTGGTGTGAGTCGTTCGGGCCCCTCCTCCTGGTGTGACTCGTTCGGGCTCCTCGTGGTGTGAGTCGTTCGGGGCCCGCGTCGTGGTGTGAGTCGTTCGGGCTCCTCGTGGTGTGAGTCGTTCGGGCGCCTCGTCCTGGTGTGAGTCGTTCGGGCCCCTCCTTGTGGTGTGAGTCGTTCGGGCTCTTTGTGGTGTGAGTCGTTCGAGCCCCTCGTCCTGGTGTGAGTCGTTCGGGCTCCTCGTGGGGCCTCTTGGGGGCCTCTTGGAGCCTCTTGGGGGCCTCTTGGGGGCCTCTTGGGGGCCTCGTGGGGCCCTTGGGGGCCTCTTGGGGGCCTCTTGGGGGCCTCGTGGGGCCTCTTGGGGGCATCTTGGGGGCCTTTTGGAGGCCTCTTGGGAGCCTCCTGGGGGCCTCCTGGGGGCTTCTTGGGGCCTCTTGGGGGCCTCGTTCGACCTCCTCAGAAGCGCAAATGAGCGCTACCCCCTGAGAAGGACAAAATGAGCCCCAAACCGTCGTAAAATGAATGGTTTTGCTAGGAAGGAAGATGAGCGCGGCCCCCTCGGGAGGCCAAAATGGGGCCAAAACCATTGTAAAAACAATGATTTTGGCTGCGCAGAAGAGGAGGGGGCTACAAGAGCGCCCCCCCGTCGGGGCCAGAATCCTTGTGAGGGTCGTCGTTTTTGGCCCTCCCAGGCGTCGAAAAAGACCCCCCTGACCACCCGCGGGACTCCCTGTCCAGGCCCAGGGGGAGGGGGTAGGGGGAGGGGTAAACCCCTCCCCGAAGGGGAAGAAGGGGGGTTGGGGGGTTGAGGACAGAAGGGGGTTCTCTAAACCACTCACGCCCAAAGGGCTGGTGGGACTACTACTTTCATTCCGGTTGCGATTACTATTACTACTACTACTACTACTACTACTACTACTACTACTACTACTACTACTATTACTACTACTACTACTACTACTACTACTACTACTATTACTACTACTACTACTACTACTACTACTACTACTACTACTACTACTACTACTACTACTACTACTACTACTACTACTACTACTACTACTACTACTACTACTACTACTACTACTACTACTACTACTACTACTACTACTACTACTACTACTACTACTACTACTACTACTACTACTACTACTACTACTACTACTACTACTACTACTACTTCTACTACCACTACTACTACTACTACTACTACTACTACTACTACTACTACTCCTGCTGCTGCTGCTGCTGCTGCTGCTGCTGCTGCTGCTGGTGCTGCTGCTGCTGCTGGTGCTGCTGCTGCTACTACTACTACTACTACTACTACTACTACTGTGCTACTACTTTTGCTACTGCTGCTGCTGCTGCTGCATCCGCTGCTGCTGCTACCTCCATTACTATCACTATTACTACGACTACGATTACGACTCGTCGTCGTCGTCGTCGTCGTCGTCGACGTCGTCGTCGTCGTCGTCTCCTTCGTCCTCGTCCACTTCCTCCTCCACCACCTCCTCCTCCTCTTCCTCCTCCCTCCTCCTCGCCTCCTCCTTTTCCTCCTCCGTTTTTTTTTCTCCCCCCCTAATTCCCCTTCCGATCATTCCCCTTGCTCTGGTCAGCCCACGGCGTTAAAGTGGTCCAATTCGAAGATCCGATGGTGAGGCAGCGGGGAATTAGGAAGGTAATGGGGAGAAGGAGGAAGAGGAGGTATTGTAACTATTTAGGCCCAAGTCTCCGGTTCAAGTGTCGTGCGTCTGGGCGGCAATTGGTCAGCACGCGCGCTAAATAAATTGTTGTCGGGTGCCAAAGCCAGCATCGTTTCGAGAAACAACGCCTTCACCGGAAGAAGAGGAGGATGACGAGAAGGAGGACGAGGACCAGTGAGTCATCAACGATGTTGGAATAAACCTTCCCTCCAACACCCCTTTCGATAGGCCCCTTCAAGGGTTCATTTCCACAGAGGGAACTGAGTCGTTCGAAGACAACCGTTTGAAGACCCGGAGGCATGCCAAAACAGTGCTCTCGGGTTTCCAACGCCACGGATCAACCTGACTGCTGCGTCTTGATGATCCTGCATCGTGCCAGGACGCCATTCTTGGGACTTCAACACCGCGAATCAACGTAACGGTTGCGTCCTCAGAGTCCGGAGTCTTTCCATCGCACAATTTCTGGTGCGTTGATCATGGAAACCCGTGAAACTCATGTAATTTTTGGCAAAACGAAAAACGAGTGTGCGCGGCGCTAAGGCGAGACTGTTTAAAACGAATGTGCGCGGCGGTAAGGCGAGAGCCACGTTTTGAAAACGTGTGGCCCTCAATCCGTGCAGCTCTTGCATTTTTACCTAACAGCGAAGACTGATAGGTTTCTAATGGGCTAAAAAAAGAGCAGCAGATGACTCCACAGGGGGGTCTGGGCGGGTGCCGGACAGGGTGCCGCAGAAGTCGTTTTAAGCCAACAGTCACACACTTCGTGCTCTTCGACCTCCCAGAACTCCATTCCCGGGCCACATTCTGAATGCCCGGAGCCAACTGTAGGCCACTTCGTGCTCTTCGACTTCCCAGAACTCCATTCCCGGGCCACATTTTGAATGCCCGGAGCCAAC